TTTTTTTTTTTTTTGGAGAGATTTTCACTGTAGGGCTTGTGCGCTTGCCAGACAGACAGAGACATAGAGACAGAAAGTGAGAAATCACCCCCCAGGGGGGATGGTCATGCCGCAATCCCTTCTCCTCCATTCTCCTCTAGGGATCTTGGGCACGCACGCACACGCGCCCGGCGTGAGTTTTAAGCCACTGGGTCCGGGACACGAACCGTGGTCGACTACGTGGGAGTCCAGCGACATAGCCATTACGCTAACTGCTGGTTCCCAAATGTTCTGTTTTCAAATGGTTCATAGTTTAGACAGACTTGTAGATAGGCTGTGAAATTGCCCTAGGAAAGAAGTCTAAAGACCTGAACAATAGATCAAGATCATATGACACATGAACTCACAAATCATTGCTTACATTTTCATGCTCTAAGACTTTAAGGTCCTCAGAACAATCTGTCATCTTTGTGTCACTGATATCTCAAATATTATGTGTCCAATATAGACAAGACATACTTACTGAATTAATAAATGAGTGAATGCATCAAACTGGAATGGCTGGCCTGCAGCAGGCTTGTGGAGCAGATGTCTGGGCAGTTTCTAGCTTCGGGGATTCCTCTTGGCATCTGTCTGGGGAGATCTTAGAGCCTCAGGGCTGCGGGTGTGAGCAGAGTCACCCTCATCTTAGGCTGTGAAAGTGGCTGCTCTGCATTACACAGGCTGTGCCTCACACCTGGGAAGATACCGGACCCAGGATAAAAGGGCTCCAGTGCTAGGCTCCTCATCATCCCGTGGCACTGACAGCCTTTGCTTCGTCCACCAACCAGGTGAGTGCTTGGCAAAGAAGGCCCATGGGGAGGGTGGACAGGACTGCTTGGAGGAAGAATAGAAGGCAAAGAAAGAGAGAAGTCACTGGGCTTATCTGTTTATCCTCTGCTTGGTGACACTCTCTTCTGACTTCTTTTGGTCTGGTAAGTATCTGGCGAGAAACAAACCAGGTGCCTGTGAGTGCCCTGTCTTAGGAAGGAGAGTGGCCAGAGCTGTAGAACAAACCAGCAGTAGTCTCAGGTGTTGGACTGCTCAGAATTGGGCCTTCTATGTCTTTCCTTCTCATCCTCTTCCAGTAAATGTTTTCAGAGAGGACAACTTTTCATCTAACATGGAGTGATTGATCCATTAAAGGATAGTTTCTGAGCATGTAACCAGATATGTTCCTAAGTTTTTGGGAAGCCTTCTAGGGGGCCGACTTTAGACTTTATGTGGAAAGGTGGTCAGCATCTTTCACTGGAAGCAGGGAGGAGAGAAATGCATATTGGTTTCTGAATTCCACTTATTGATTTTGATTACAAAGGAGCTTGTTCTAGACTGAGGATTCAATGAAACCCAAACTAAAGGATACACCTGCTTTATTTGTGCTGATGACGCTTTACATTTTTCTTTAGATTTACCTGCTTCCTCTTGAAAATGTCCTGCCAGCAGAACCAGCAGCAGTGCCAGCCCCCTCCCAAGTGCACCCCCAAGTGCCCTCCCAAGTGCCCCACGCCCAAGTGTCCCCCAAAGTGTCCCCCTAAGTGCCCTCAAGTCTCTTCCTGCTGTAGTGTTCCTTCTGGGGGCTGCTGTGGCTCCAGCTCTGGGGGCTGGTGTGGGTCTGCGCCTTGGGGCTGCTGTGGCTCCAGCTCTGGGGGCTGCTGTGGCTCCAGCTCTGGGGGCTGCTGTGGCTCCAGCTCTGGGGGCTGCTGTGGCTCCAGCTCTGGGGGCCCCGCCGATCTTTACGACGCCGACACCAGAGGTCTAACTGCTGTGGCAGTGGCAGTGGCCAGCAATCTGGGGGTTCTGGCTGTTGTCATGGGTCTGGGGGCTCTGGCTGCTGCTCTGGAGGCTGCTGCTGACCTGGGCCACAAAAAGCAGCACTGAGAGACCCAAGGTGCAGAATTCCTGACCAGCCTGTCATTCCTCTCTTCTTTTCCTGGCCTTCATGTCCTGGGCTCTGAGTTGTCAAAATCTTCCTGTGGGAGGTTCTGAATTTTCCCCATATGGCCTGGCCCCTCTTCGGTGTTAGAAAATAATAAAGTCTTCCCAACTGAGCCTTACCAGTCTCTTGCTTATTTTTATCAGCAGCATCCCTACAGGTCAGTGTTAGCAACTTGGTACCCAATCCTACCCTGGCCAGGACAGAAGCTGCTCAAGAGTATGGGTCAGGTGATCAGACTGTATACAGGGTGTGACTGCAAAGCCTTTGGTTGGCCGTCCCTAAATACAGAGGATCAGTCTAGTCTTCTAGTTGCCAGTTAGGGGTATTAACCTCTTCTGGGTACATAGACATTTTTTCTGATTTTATATCCATTGCTCTCCTACACTTTTCCTGTTGAAACACTTACAATGTATTTCAAACAGTTAGTATGAAGTGAAGTGTCCAGCACTCCTTACAGTGGTAGAATCTGGGGACAAGATAAAGGGAAGGTAGCAGATTCATTATAAGAGATCGATTCAATTAACTGTGACTTACCATCCAAAGTCAACACAAAACAACATATAAGTGAGTAAAAACAAGCAATTTTCATAAGATTATATAAAGCATAATAGCCTATTCATAAATTTTAAAACAGCAAAATATATCTTTTTGGGGTTGGTGTACATATGGTTACAAATAAATTATATGAAAAGGAAAATGGCATATGGATGAAAATATCTTTTGGAATAATAAATCCTTTGGGTGGGAGGAGGAGGAAATGGGTGGATGGGGTAGACCCTGGAGTTGGAGGTAGGTTATTGTCAAGGTTCTAGATTTCATTTCAGTGGGTTCCCATTCTTTTGATAACATCAAAGTTTTCAAATAAATGAATTGACAGATGGGTATATCAACTAATTAAATAACTAAGTGGATCATTCATGGAGCAATGATGACAGTGTGTCATGGTCCAAGAATTCTGATTTCTTCAATTCTAAACACATAAGGTCCTGTTTCTTCAAAAAAATGTGATATATGCATTAGCTTATATAATGTCCTTGCCTACTTCTCACAACTCTTTTAATATATTATTTTAATCTCCATTAATTTTATATAAGTAAATTAAAATTCATAAGTTTAATAATTTGCCCTAGTTCACACATAAGAGCAATGCCAGATACTTTTTGGTATCTGAGCCGTCCATCACCTGCTCTGTTGTGCTTTCAGTCCCCTCACCTCTTCTTGGCAATCTCTTTTACTCTCTAGCATCAGTCAACATTATATGCTGATGGTTAGTGAATCTAATGTAGCCCCCTTGTTATTCTTAATCATTTTACTCTGCTTTATTTTTATGATATTATAATTATTATTTTTCATACATTCAATTGCTGTACATTTAGCTTATATAGAGAATTCACTCAGCATGAAGTATACCTCAGACCCATCCACTTGAGAATACTGTGCACATCATCATCAACAGGTAAAATATGTCTGTGTCCCGCAAATGTCTTACCTTTATTTTTTCTCCCTAATTACATTCCCTACCCTCTTCCCTTCTCCCACCTTCCTTTCACACTGTCTCCAGTGTCTATAACTATTTTCATTGCTTTTATGTCCTCTAATCTTTCAGTCTCTATTATAGAGTGCAGACATTTGGTTTATGTTAAGTGAAGACATACGATGTCTGTCTTTCATAGCCTATCTTGCTTCACACAAAAATAAGTCTTCTGTATTTGTCCACTTTCTATCAAATGCCAGGGTCTTTTTTTTATGGCTGAATAGGATTCCATGGAGTATAGGTGCCAACTTTTTCAATTCATTCATCTGTCATGGACATTTGGGTAATTTTGTTTATTCCTTTGTAACTGATGAACTGTTTCTTATTCATTTACTTTCCTTGTTTCTCTCTCTCTCTCCTGATGTTTAATGAAACATCATGTAACTAGAAAACTTGCTCTCTGGTCTACGGCTGTCTCTCCAGTACCTAGAATAAGTTCATTGTGGGTTTGACTAAAGGCCTTCCAATCAAAGTATGAAACCTCTGTTTCTTGACCTCCTGATTGATATTTTTGTCATCTATTGAGTTTCACCAATCAAGGGTTTCATTATGATCTCAATTCACTTACAAAATGAAACTCAACAGCTTCTCTACACTTAACAACTTCCTCTCTGTTGATTCCAACTTAGTGAGTAGGAATATTATCTGCCCAGTTCAGAAACCAAAAATGTCCTGAATCATTCTCTCTCATAACCCACTCTTCAACTAAACAACCAAACATGAAATCCTATTGATGTGAGTTCTTGCATCTCTTTCCTAAATTATTGTCACAGCTACTTCTAGGATCTCCTGGGTCTAGTCCTACAACCTTCAATATGTTCTCGACACTGTAACCCTTGTAATCTTTCCAAATCCAAATTTACACTCATCAATTCCTCACTGTTCCAGTGTCAGATGTTTAGGTGTTCTTTGTACGTGACATATTGCTGGTCTCAGGAAAAGACTCAGGGTTCATATTCTGATCCATTATATTTATGAAGGAATCAGAGAAGCACTGAGATCCCTGCCAACCACAATTCTATCACCTTCTGTGCTGTATTCTACATCCTTGAGCAAAGATTTAGGGATTTAGGTTGTTCTCTGAGGAGAACAACCAGCAAAATCATAGCTTATGCATGACCAATGGTCCTTATCAAGATGTCCCAGGAGGGTAGCCAAGATGCCATATAGGAAAAGCACAGGACAGCTGCCTATGATACTCAACAAACACAAACTCTTTGAACCATGATGACTCCTTTTTTTCTCCCACTGGAGAAATTCTACCTATGGATTTTCAAAAAGAAAAAATATATTGCCCCAGGGCCCTTTTCCAGAAGGAAAAAAAAAATCATTTGTCTTGCATGGGAGATATAAAGTGATGTCAAACAATGATCTCAGTGGCTGTGATTCAGGCTGTGCTCCTCAGCCCAGGGCTGCTTCTTGCCTATGCTCAGTGGCTTCTTTGTCTATGGAGTTTATCTGTGGCCAAGGAGAGGCTGAAATTTTCCTAAAGCAAATAAATGATACTCAGACAGCTAAGAATGTTTTTTTTTTTAATATAAAGTAGCTATTATTTTCTTTCTTTTTGCCATGTGCTTGAGCAGAGAGACGGAGAGAGTCAGAGAGAATTAAGCGATAATTTACGCCCTCAGGGAGGATGGCCATGCCACAAGAGCTTCTCCACCATTCTCCTCTCAGAATTTTAGGCATGCATACATACATGCCCAGTGTGATTTTCAAGCCACCAGGTCCAGGACACAAACCGTGTACAGCTATGTGGAAATCTAGCATCTTAACCCCCATCTTTCCTGCTGGCCCCAAAGTAGGATGATTTTCACATATATAGGTCACTTTATGTATTTCATTATTAAAGCATTGAAAATAATTTCATTGGTGATACATATGAATTAAAGAATTGTATATTATTTCAATAAATTCTGGTTGTGTGAGTGTAAAGTAAGCTATAAACTTCTCTGTGTTTTAGTATATTCCTTGTAAAAAGGAGCGAAAGGCTTTGCCTAAGCCATAGGCTATTGTAAGGATGAAATGAGTTAGCACAAGTGATGATTGAAGACAGTTGAGTGGTTTTCTTTCAACACCAGATGTTTGTCCCACACCAGTTCTGTCATTCTTTGATATCAACTGAATGTTCAATAGTTCAGTTCAGTTCTGACCGTAACTCCCAGAGTTAGCACAGCCCTCACATATTCAAGGTTCAGTTTCATGAGTGTCCCCACCTCAGATCCCAGTTACAAATGGGGTTTCCAGGTTACTTGCACTTTTACTGGATGACTAAGTATGGGTTCTCATCACCTCCTCCTCAGGTTTAATAATTCCCTGGAATGACTCATAGAGCTCAGAAAAATGTTTAACATATGAGTATAGTTTATTATAAAAGATACAATAACACCAAATAGAAGACATGCATCAGACAAGATAGGGAAGGGGAATGGTGAGGCCTGAAGCTTTGTTTCATCTTAGAGCAAAAAAGAAAGCATACTTTTCTAAAATGTTAATTGTCCCAAAATGCTGAAATATAAATGAGCAGAAAGTGATTAAGTTTGAAAATATATCTGGAGAAAAATATATCATACATAGACTATTATGTTGGTTGATGTATATGTGTCCTTTGGGGATGCTTTCCTAGAAAGAGGGCAGGTTCAGAGGCCTCAACCTGTCCCATAATTCTCTTTAGCCCTCACCAGATGTTAAAGCTACTGCATATTCTCAGTCCCACCAGTTTTACTGCACTGTATACCATCCACTCTACCCACTATCTCATGCCTAGACTTAAAGGATTATGATTCTGAGCCAGAGGCTGCCAGTAAATGACAGCTTAGGCCCTCTGTCCCCTATGGGGTGTCACAGTGCTTCCAGGAACTCTGCAGGATTTAGAATATTTTCTAATTGCTCAGGCCCAGAGGTCACTGCTATTGTGCTTTGCATTATAGCACCTGTCTTTCCTGGTCACCTAAGGGGACTTAGAACTTTTCCATAGCTACGGATGGAGATTGAAAGTTACCCTGTAACTATTGACGACCAAATATTGTGGGCAGTGGCAATTCCCAGCTCCTGAAGTGAAAGCTTTCCTTTCTGCAGAGGGAAGGTTGGCAGGGAGCCCTCTCCAGCCTTTCAAAGATGAGGTTTCTGATTCCCAAAGCAACTTGGAAAAAATTATGGTGTCTTAGGAGAGACAGAGATGCTATTCATAGACCTTCTCTGCCATAAGAGTAATTATCAGGTTGAAGAAACAGGCTCAGAAATTATTGTGTTGTCTCCAGTGTGCCAAATACATTCTTATTATTGAGAGAGAGAGACAGACAGACAGAAAGAGAGAGAGAGAATGAGAATTTACTTTCCCAGGGGAATGGCCATGATGCAATAGTTTCTTCATTCTCCTCTCA